ACATCATTCTGTTACGTCTTTGTTCAATTCAAGATTCACTAGAGATATGTGATCGTGAGTACTTAAAGGAAAGACCAAAAAAAACAACGTAATGATGAAATTAAGATCTCTCCTGAAGGAGAAACTTTATTTTTTAGCAAGGAAATAAGCCGATGCACCTATATAAGAGTCAACTGGAGGAAAAGGAACGTGTTCTTTATGTGTTTTAGGTTTTTAGGTAACCTATATATAATGGGTACTTGAGGATTCAATGGAACAAGACTGTTCCGAGACAAATTGGACCGGGGAAAACATATGATGAGTGTTGTATTATATACATACATTTACTGAAGTAAACTTTTGGTTGGGTCAGACTCCAATAGCTCAAAGTTACCTTGGATAACATCATCAACCTCCTGGCTCTGCCCGCTACTATCCATAATGACAACAGTATTGCCCTTGTCGGCTTTAGTAAGAATAAGGTTATTAAGGACTTAAAAACAGGAAACTCAGGATTGCAATGGAAACATGCGGGCACAGCCAGAATTTCTTTAGCTACCAAACCTTTAACGATATTATCTTTCTTCCCGATCACACTCAACACCCAGCCCGCGTTAACGGCCACCGTCAATGTAATTATAAAAAATAATAGATACAAAATCAATTTTGTTTATACAAAACTGGACAAAATCGTGTTATGTAATTTTTACCTCATTGTGGATCTGCCCAAGAAAGAAAGAAAGAAAAATCAAAGCAAAATCTTCAATGTTTGACTTTTGCCATGGTTCAACTAACAGAGACTTAAATAATATGATACTTGATTTTGAGTATTTGCATTTTAATTGAATCTTCGCATTTGAATGATTGCGAAGGACAAAATCATTCAAATGCGAAGATTATGAATAATTGATCAAATGTGACGGCTCTAAGTAGTTTCTAAGCTCGATATGAAAACAATTCATACTAAGTTATCGGTTGACTGACCATCTTATGATACCTATAATCAGTGCCGGATTAACCACGTAGCAAGAGTAGCAATTGCTACGGGCCCCGCGTATCCAAACCCACCCACCAAAGCGTAATTTTTTCAATGAAACTTAATAAGTGGTATATTGAATTGCCACAGCAACCACTTACCATCAGGTGGACTGTGTGCTCGTTTGTCACCCTATCCTATAAAAAACACTAGTGCACACAAAAAGAAGTACAAATCTGCCTCTAAGCCCTTCAAAAGAGTTATCACTAGAGCAAAGTCGGAGCACATTGGGAGAATTGGCGAGAATTTAGTTCATCTTCCTTCGGGAACTCATGCGTTCTAATCCCGGAATTTTTGTAAGCCATCATTACCATCTTTGAGTAGGGAGAACGAATCGCTTGGCTCACGCCGCAAAGAAGAAAGCAGATCATTTAGGTTCTCTTTTTGCGTCCAACTCGACTCTCGTCGACGGAGGGAACATACCAATAATATGTATGACTGCTCTATGCAATGTGCTGTTTACACAGCTCCCTGGACACTGTCCCTGGATGTCAACAAGTTGAGTGGGCCTGATGGAATCCCCCATATTGTGCTGAAGACGTGTGGTCAAGAGTTGGAACTGATTTTTACACATCTTTTCCGATTCTCTTACTCTTTAGGCGTCGTTCCAGAAGCTCATAGAAGACAGGCTGAGTGCACCCGATCCCCAAAAAAGGTGACCACTCGTACCCATCCAACTACAAACCTTTGGCTATATTCTTTAATATAATTCCGTCACCTCCTTATTCTCCAAAATAATGAAATCCATTATTAACTGTCAGAGCAGAGATACATCTGCATAAGCTGGCAGCAGGCAAGATCATTATCTGATTAGTGATACGGTTTATGTTGAGGTCTTTCAGCTGGTGGTCTTCTTGTCTGCCTGACTTACCGATGTGCGGAGGCAATCGAGATCAAGGGGGAGGCCCAGGCGGTTATTTTGGACATCGCGAAGGCTTTCGATGGGATTTGGCACAAAGCGCTTCTTTCTAAGCTTCTCTCTTATGGGCTTCCCGAGAAATTATGCAATTAGGTCACTAGTTTTCTTACAGATCGGACTATAAAAGTAGTCAATGGTGCATGCTCCGACTACAAACCTGTGAATGCTGGTGTTTCACAAGGCTGCGTGCTATTGCCTACCCTGTTCTTTCTGCATATCAATGATATGTTGCATACTAATAACATTTATTGTTATGCAGACGAGAGCACTGGCGATGCTTTATACACCACGGCAGTGCTAATATTTCTCGGGAATCTGTCGTCGAATGCTGGAACAAACTCGTGTCAGAAGTCGAGTCTTTGTTGAACAAAGTCGCGGAATAGAGGCGACTAAATCTATTCCGGTTTAACCCTCAATAGACACAGGTTTGCGCGTTTACTGCAAAAAAGAACCCCTTTGTCGTATCTTCTCAATTTCAAGGAACTCTCCTCGTTGCCTTAGCCAGCATCGGAATCCTTGGCATCGACATTTCCAGAGACGTACAGTTCCGCATTCACTTGGAAGGGAAGGCTAAACTGATATCAAAAAATCTTGGTATGTTCAGTAGATCAATCTCATTTCTGACATTTTGTATTTGTCAGTCTAACAGGACCTGTAGTAATCTACTGTACTATGAAACACCAACAAAATTGTAACCTAGAGATGGCAAATAAACGCATTGATTATTGAATTGTTTTTATCACTTTGTATTTAAGAATAGCAACATAGCATAACAAGGGCCCCTCGACAGAATTTGCTACGGACCCGCGCTTGCTTAATCCGGCACTGCCTATAATGAGTTACATATTTAAGAATGTGTAGTTTTTAGTAATTCAATATGTCAAGTAGTTGATTCGTAGAATGCATAACCAACTACGATTACATCAAGAAATACACACTAAAAATGATTTCATGAAATTCCACTTGAAAAAGGAAATTTAATACAACACTTGCTAAACATTTTCATGACAAAATTAATAAAAAATATAACGAAATGATACGCCTTACCACAGCACCATTCAAACATTAAAAACTAAGACGTCAGACCTCTTGGTAGAGAGTAATTGTGTTCAGTGCGTTAAACGTTATTAAAATATGGCCGACTATCCACCGCCTACAAAGGTGTGCCACATTCGATGTCAGCATATTTTGCCTATATATTCATAAAATTAAATTAACAATAAATATTTTTGAGTTGAAAGAAGAATTAAGCGGAAATAAATAAATAAAATAAAAATACATTAGAAAACAATAATTATACACAGGTTTAATCCTTCATAAAAAATTATAAATATTCTTACCGAGTAAGTATATTTCTTGCACTGGTATTACTAAGAAAGGGACAGAGCTCCCGCAGTGCTATCACCCTCGGACCGCTTTTCTCGTCAAACAAGACATGACTTTATAAACCTAAACTTAAAGTATAATCTTATGTATTATATGTAACGAACTCTTAGAAACCAAGTAAATGATACTAAGTGCGCACTCCAGCTTACTACCTATGTTAGTAGTTTATAAATTGCTTGGTGTACTTACTCTTATATTTGGCATAGTATAAAGAGACCAAAGATGATCACTTGTCATTTAAGCTCTAAACATAAATTATACACAACATCTTTCAAAGTTTCTCTTTTCTGCCTACTTTCAAAAAGGAGACGGTACTCAATTCGACTGTATGTTATTTTTGTTTTTTTTTTATGTGTTACCTCATTACTTTTTACTGGGTGAACCGATTTCGATAATTCTTTTTTATTTGAAAGATGTTACTTCTCGTGTGGTCCCATATGAATTTGATCAAGGTTAGACTAATAGCTTTTGAGTTATTCTTAATAACTTATATTGAAGTCGGCTGTACAAAATTTTTAATTTTTAATTATTGCCTTATTTGAAAATTAAATTAGAAACAGTGAGACACTTATATTGACTCAATTATATAGAATTGTAGGATTCCTGTGTGCATACATATGTAATTACTGTAAGGTTTTAGTATAAAGGATAGAAGAATCAACTTTCACTATACAACTTTTCCACTATCGGCTGGCAACTAGAATTGCATCCTTTTTGTTATTATGAATTTTACTTTGTTTTGATAGCATAAATCAAAAAAAGTTACATCCCGATGTATTTCCGACTACTGGGCACGTTTCACTTGCCTTTTCTGAGAGGGTAATGGAACAATTAGTCCGACGCTGGAAATTTCATAGTACGCGAGCAATCCGGGTTCGATCCCCACCGGCACCAATGAATTTGTTAATTGCAATATTGAGTGATGATTTATTAAGGGCTCGGCGATATAGAAAAACATCGTGAGTAAACCTGCATGCAAATATTTTGAGGATATGTGAAGTCCGCCAACATGCACTAGGACAGCGCGGCGATGGCTCCAACACACCCTCTCAGAAATTTAGCAAATGAGAGAACGACAGACCTTTCATTTCCTTATTTCTGCCTTGCCTTGGACGTATAATATAAACTGTAACTTGTCTTAGTTTTTACTGGTTTTATGCTGTCAACTCCTTGTATAATCTACATTATTCATATTATAGATTATCAAACTACTAAAATCTAGTGTTTAGTAGTGTTATGTATTGTATGTAGCTGCATGAATGAGCGTTATTATAAAAATGTCGTTTAGCTGTGGTTCCTTACCAACTTTTAACCACGAATTACAATCGTGGAAAATATTTAGAACGAAAATTACCCAATAGTTAATTGCAAACGACATATGTAAATGTGTCAAATAATGACGCAGGTGTAAAAAGAGCGAGCCATTCTGCTCAGCACATTCGTCGATGGTATATTTAAACTTGCCTCAGATCTCGCTGCACCAAAGGATCCCTAAGAAATTTCATCTCCGTCGCCAATATTATGACGCAGTACGGAGCACAGGAGATTATTAAAACACGCAACGGTTGTCACAGCCAAGCACACATAATGTATAACAAGTACTTAATATATGACAATGATGTTTGAAGTCAGTTTTTTCAGTTCATGACTATTATTACAGAGATACAACGATATAGTTACCTCTTTTTCATCTCCGGCCACTGGCCTGTAGCGGGCCGGAGTGATGTTACTCGGTGGCGGCGCAGAGAATCCGTGGACGTAGATGAGCGCCGCTGCAACGCCACCAGCAATAGGTCCAGCCCAATAAATCTGCATAATAATATTTTTTTGCATCAACACAAACATATTAAGAAATACACCAATCCTAATTTTAATTTGGATTTTGATAAGAGCCAAGTAGTTTGTTTTAATAATAGATAGCTTACAAAGAACAAGATGAATCGCAATACGCACGAGCGCACGAGCACTTACACTAATAGTTAATTTTAAATGATTATATTCACTAGATGATAGTAAATGTTAAGATTTAAGGAAATTGAACAATTTATGCAATTTCTATACTACTTTTACTGCGTTTTATTTATTTCGCGTCTATTTGTTAATTTAATTGCAAGTGGCAGACTTTTCTCATGCTGAGTATAATAGATAATTTCTTCTTAATTTTATAGCTTATAGGAATAATTCGTCGTCAGGCAGACACAAAATTCATTAATACCACCCAAATAATACCTTGAGTCTGAAATAACTAAAAAGTTGAATGTAATTATTTCAACGAGTCAGTTTTTAGACACAGTAATCATCATCATTGTTACAGCCTACCAAAGTCCACTGCTGAATATAGGCGTCCCTCATAGATCCTCTAATAGTGGAGGATCCCTCTAACATTATAGGGACCCTTCCCCCTATGAGGCAATCTATGGGCCATAACATTTGGCATATTTTCTACGCTTAGCAGGCGGGTTAGCCACGGTTCTTTTATTATCTTTAGCAGCTATCAGAAATATGCTGCTCATGTAATCTTCTGTTTTAATTTCCCTACGTCGCCTCTTACGTCATTAACGGGATGACATAGGGTGGATTGTGTTACACCACTACTACACCGCAGAGACAGTAATATTATATATAGGAAAATTTCCTCACATATGATGAGCATTAAAATAGAACAGCCTAACGATTTGCACGATTTATAAGGCAGACTTAGTTTATTACTATTGGCTGGGGTGTACTACTTGTCATGGTTTCATTTACATTCCTTTTTTGTTTTGGCCCCAAATTAACCCCAGCCCACCGAGCAGCCCGCCTACGATTTGCCAGAGGACACGTTGATTGGACTGAAGAACAATGGAGCTCCGTTTTCTTCTCAGGCGAAAGCAGAGTGTGCTTGCATGGTAGCGATAGAAGAGGACGAGTCTACAGAAGACCCGGAGAAAGATTCGCGCATCAAAGAAAATGTGGCTTTTGGAGGAGGTTTCTGGACACTAAATATTGATAAATTAATTTCAGTTAAATTAATATTTTGACGAAATTAAGCTTGAATTTTCTTTACTGTTAATTATCACCTTGTTTCATTGTTTATGACACCTTCTCATTTATTTATTTTTTCCTTACTAAAACTAAATTTAAAAAACCAACGAAGGCCACTCATTTTAAAGCTAAAACTAGCCGCTTTGAGATGTTAAAATCAGAAATAGAATGAAAGCTTCAGATTTTTTGCCGTAGACTTTTAACCCCGAGCGTGTTTCCTGAGTCGATTTTTTTGCTCACGAGTGTATATTGCTGCACATAAAAGGACTCAAAACACGGCCATAAGCTAAAGTCTATTGAATTCATAATGTATGGCTTACCAGACCTCTATATATTGAAACATTTAACATTATATTTTTGTATTTCTTCCCCTTGTACTATAATATTACAGTTAGTAGACTTAAAGACTATTTAAAATATAAAAGTGCCAACTTTCCACCAACCAACCCTAAATGCATGTGATTCTTAAAAATACCTAGGTATATTCAGCAGTGGATAAAAAACTATGATACATAAGACGAAAACACTTTAAGAACGAACTTAACTTTCAAGACCATAATAATAAATAATATGCAAGATTTGAATTATTATAATTTTTTACTTATTAATAAAATATTCATGAATGAAATAATAAAAATATTATTTGTATCAAAGTAGATAAAAATAAAATAGTATGATTTAAGATGAAAGTACGTCAGCAAATTGTAAATATTTATACTATCCATCTTTGCTGTGCTAGAATCCGACAGGTGGCACGTGTAGTTCGTAGTTAAATAAATTATTATCAAATTCTATATTTATCAACCAAAATGACGCAGTGAAATGACAAATGAAACACAAAAGATGAAAAAAAAAATTACAAAATCTGGACTCGATAGATGGCGCTATGGTTGAGTTCATAGATTAATAATAGGTCATCGCGGTCTGAGCGCGCGAAGACCTATCAATAATCTAAGGGTTGAGTTACGAGTATTAATAAATTTTATATTTACACTAAAAAGGCTGGAGTGAATTCGGAGTGAAAGTCATCGCGCCGTCTACGCCCACCGGAAAGGGCGAACGGGAAATAATATAATCACCATTGTCGCATTGTCACAGTAGCTGCCTTTATAAATCCGGAATTTCAAATTTGACTGCCTTGTTGTTATTGTGGTTTGTGGTCGTCAGCGCTAATGCTTATCATGATCCTGGGTTCGGATTCCGAGTCAGGCCAAAATCAGTTATTAGGTTTTTATCAAAATTCAGAATTAAAAAAAATAGCCTACAGAAGTTGCTACAATTAAGCTACAATAGAAATTGTTGGGATTTATCTAGTAAACATTATAAAATGCCTGTGGCGGGAAACCCTTCTTTTTCACACCACCACACAATAGTACTCATAAATAAGAAAGTTTTTCTTTCTTATATGTGCTAATGACGCAAGAAATAAGTAAATATTGTGTCATGAAATTCTCAGCAGTAGCATAGAGTTAGAAAGTTGGCGGTTCTTCACTCCCGTGCTTCGAAAGCACGTAAAACCGTTGGTCCTGCGCCTGAGGGTCTCCGGTTGTGTCAGATTGCCGGTTCATCGGATTATGAGAGTGATGGAATAGAGTGTACCTGTGCTTGCGTATACTTGTACTTTATAATCCTGTGAGATGGCGCAGTTGGCTAGACTCAGTTGTGACTGGCCATCGTGACCGTATAAGATCTGATAGATATTATTTATTACGAGTAGTTATAAATCCGTAAACGAAGTAGACTTTGTAATTTTTTTTTTGTTTAATTATTATGATTCTTGTGATTGTATTTACTTAATTTTGTCTTGTGATCGTAAAGATCAGTTATCAGTTATCTTTTGGTATTTCTGAGAGGGTTTACAAGGCAAGGTTTAGTTCAATTATTTAAGTTAAAAATTAATGCATCACGGAAAACGGATTGAAAAGTATAAAAAGTTCTCGTAGCTCCCATGTATATTTATAAACCCCATACGTATTACTAACCTCATATAGATTTAGTGATTGTGAATTTTTAATACAATACATGAATAGTTCAGCAAAGTCAATGACAAATTTATTGCACTACAAAAATGACATGATTTTTCAACGACAGCTGCAACACGCACTCCTTGCTTTATATCTACTTCATGCGCCATTAGAGCAGTGGGTATATTATGCTTTAAGCATGCACCCCCATTATTTTGTTTTACCTATATATGTTTATAAATCTGTGTGATTTTTTTAATAATTGTTATTTGTGAAATCGATGGATCTTGAAGATTTCATTTTGATAAAATAAAATTGATAATTATATGTATGATATTAAACCGGTTTTGTTTATTAAGATAAATAATGGAGAGGAATGTGTCACAAAGACAGAGAGAGTCTTCTGCTGATCGCGCTGTCTATCATTATAGGAACAGAAATGTTTGCCATAGAGTGATAGCTCCATCGGCAGAACGTAACGTCCGTATCTTTAGACCGCTATAGCTAATAAGCCGCCATATACGTACAGATTTTAACCGCGGGACACTTCTCAGATCGTATCCGACACCGAGATTTTGCGACCCATGTTCTCAGACATTAGCTATTATCACGAGATTAATATACGGTTGTCTGCAATGTATCTTCCAAAGCAAAATCTACCTATAAATGTTGGAGGTTTCATCTGTATTAAATAAAGAAAACAATGGCTAGAAATACAGCCGCGGTAGGTGCGATCACGACGGGTGGGCACATCTGTTCCTTCGTAAGTCCTTTGTCGGTCCGTGTCCGATACCTTGATTTTGATCACGGGCGGCGCGGCGGCCAGTTATATCTGTACCTGAACTTCGCCATACATTAGCCTCTCTATTCTGTACGTATAAGAGATAGAAAAACGTCAGATGATAGAGAACTACGGTAATGTAATGATCGTATCGGAGTCAAACAAAAAAACATGGTCGAACAAAGAATAATCCGAATCCACCTCATAAGTTATTGTAAAGTTAGTATAGGTGTGCCTATTATTTTATTCAGAAATTTAAATCCATCCGAATTTTGCACCAGTGCAAGACTCCAGATACCTACTTTAACTAATTAGAATGTTTATTTTGATCGAGTGCACAATATTATCTTCAGTTTAAGATTCATTTAATTATATTTGTATTTTATAATTGTGTTGTTATGAACAGTCTTCTTTAATTCAATAGATATGCATTTTGACCTGCAATTTCCACTTTTAATCATGGTCACCTCATCAGTTGCAGTGTAGGTAACAAAGCAGCAACTTTTGTTGAACGAATGTACACTATACTAATAAACAATATACATACTCTTTGTAGTGAAACTTGTTATCTAAAAAGTATTTGCGTTATTTAAAAATGTTTTCTCAATTCAGTCCATTACCACCTTGAGACTGACAAGCCGCACTTACTCTTCTTGACTGAGACGCAGATCAGATGTCCTCTAGATGCGGCGTACCTTGGCTACCCTGGGTACACATTGGAGCATAATTTCCATCAGCGCGCCGGAGTCTGTGTTTAGCGTGACCGACTGAATGCGAGTCGGGCAATTACCTGACTTTCGTATTGCCATTTTAGAGCGAGTAGTCTGTGATTACGTCCGCAACGGCATCTGCTGTAAGCGTCTCCGTCACCTTGAAGACCCCACTTTCTCTACGATCTGGGTATTGATAGACACAGGAATGGGTAAAATTATTTATTCTTGTGTCTACCGATCGCACAGCGGCGACCAGGAGACAACTAGGCTGTTTGAACACCTCAGTGAAGCCTCTGATGTGGCTCTAAATCGATACCCTAATGCACA